ATGTACCAGGACTGTGGATACCATGATCATGAGATCGGATAATTGATTTCTTCTGTTGGTTAATCACCCTTGATAGAAATTTGTTCTCCATCTCTGATCTAAAAGAAACCAGGACTTAGGCAGACTTGATCACCTAGTTTTAAGACATGGAATATAATAGTGCAGGGATGACCAGATTTGCTAAATGCAAGAGCCACATTTGAGAGTTGCAAGCAGGTGCTTGTGGGCAGCAAAAACAAGGGGCAAGCAGCACGCTGGCACTCACACATGATGGTAGTGGGCAACAAGCAGCAAGAGGGCACCTGCGGCAGCAAGTGGTGAGCCACAAAATAAACCCAAAGAGCTGTATACTTCTCCCAAGCCTCAGTTTGACTGCCTCTGTAATAGTTTTGTTAGTTGAAGCAAAAGGAAAATGAAGTGTAGGAGGGTGAATTAGCCTGTTCAGATCCCTAAAATCTTCTCAGATCCCTAACAGCTTCTCTTATGTATTTTGGGAGAGAGGATAGGGCTGAATATATTCCCTTTCCCTGCATTATAGAAGAATGCTTCAGAAAGGAGGATAAGAATTCCAAAACCCTTCTCCCCTGTATAGCACTACAATGCTCAGACATGGATTTGGCAATACTAAACTGGAGCCCTCTAGCCCTGTTTAGCACAGCTGGAGATTATGTTTTTGTGGTAGGGGAGAAAAAGTGGCTTGGACTTTTTCTCTCCTAGCCACCCAACATCTTGGAACTCCTCCTCCTCCTCCACTTAGAAACCTGAATAGTGTATTTATTGCATTTATATTCCAGCTTTTTCCCCTTGCAAAGAAAACAAAGCAGGTTCCATAGTTTCCTCCTTTTATCTTTACAATAACACTGTGATGTAGGTTAGGCTGATAGTCAGTGACCAGACTGAGTTTCAGTAAGTTTCTTGGCCAAATGAAGTCTAGAACCTAGATCATAGAAATTATTTAAATAAATATCTATCTATCTATCTATCTATCTATCTATCTATCTATCTATCTTCCAAGTCCCAGTCCAATGCTGTAACCATTATAAGGCTGGTCATCATGTTTCTGCTCCATTCTTGCTAGAGTACTGAACAGAAGCATTCTTCTTAGGAGGTGGGGGTGCATTGAAACATTCCGAGGAAGGTTCAGGTTACCCTATTTGCAAAAGAAGAATGCCCTAAAATAGAAATCTAGTAGCTCATCTGAGGAGCTAGATTTAAAAGATGCTCCAAAGTTCAAAACTCTTCTCTGAATATATTTTGTTCCTGATAGATTTAAGTCATAATTCTAGGCTCTTCTGTATAAATATACATAGGAGTGTGCCTTTGTCTCTGAATATCCTACCCTGTTTAAGTCAGTTGAACTCAGTGGATAGCCTGGACAAGTACCTTTCTTTGCCCTTTAAAATATGAATTAAACATTATATCCCACTGAGCTGCTGTGTGAAATTAAAGTGATAAAGGCTATAAGTGCTAATAAATGATTATTGATGATAATCTTACACAGTTTACAGAAGTGGCATTGCAAATGTTATACCCTGTTTTATTCTAAAGGCTAATGTGGCTTCCCGGAAAGAAGTGAGGGAATGAAATGTTACAGTGCAAAAGTTCTTTAGTTTTATATGTCACTGGTAAACACAGTGTGTGGAGAACATACATATTATACAAATAACTTGTGAATTATATAGACATCTTAAGGAAGGGTAACTTGTTATGCTTTCTCCAGCTAAATGATATATCTTGTCTTGGATAATGTTTTGGCATTTCAAAATCATCAAATAAAAGTGAAGAATGTGCTCACAGAGGCACGGTTAACTCTGCAGATGCCCAACTGACTTGGATGAAAAAAAAGAAATTATAATTTTAGCAACAATCCCAATCCCAGTTTAATTTCCAGACTGTCCACATAATATGGTCATAACATTCACCTTTTAACATACAGAATTTGGTATACTATACAACAGTATAACTCCAATCTTCTTGATAGAGGACCAACAATTGTTTAAAAAATTCAGTCCTGTTACCTTTATTGGACTAAGAATTCATGTGTTTGGGGCAGACCACTTGTTTGAAATCATTGAAACCATATTCTGCTTGAAAAGGTAACATATCAGTGAGGGGATTAGGTTACAAGGGCTCTCAAGTAAACACTTTTCAGATGGGGACACTTTAAAATAGCACCTGTATGCCTTCTGAGGACATAGGTATGGAACTATATTTGAATTTCATAAACAGACTCCAGTTTTTGGCTTTAAAAATGGTTCAAGATTCTTGATTAGATACTGATAAAGATACTGATTCAAACTGGCTTTTAAAAAAGTAATGGTATTTCAATTTACTATTTATATTCTGATACTGCATTCACTCAGATGTGAACATAAGTAAGAAAAAAAGTTAACTCTAGAATGTTAAGAACTGACTACAGATATCCCTATGCAAAAGGTAGTCATGAAGTAAACACAGTTGTATTTTTAGTACTAAGGGTTCTTGTA